AAAAGTCGGAAGAGCTGGGATAAAAATGTACTCAAAGACCAAACAGAAGAGAAGTCTGAGCCGAAGAAAGACCCAAATTTGCAGACGGAACAGGCTGAACCCATTTCAGGAACTACCAACAAAGGGAAAACGACAGGGGTAGGAAAAAAAAAAAACAAAAAAACAACTCCTACCAGCTTCAAATCAGAAAAAGAAAAAAACCTGGTTCCCTATATTGGAACCAGCACCAGGTTGGCCTTGGATTTTGTCTTCGGGGCTATGTGTAATAGTGCATTTTGGAAGGCAGTAGAACAATGCCTCTATAGAATTTTGAAAAACAAAAACAAAAACAAAAAAACCCGTGGTCCTCAAAAATTTTATCTCCATCCAATTCCCTTTTGAAGGTAAAGGCAAACTGGGGGATGTTTTGAGCTGCCCGTGTTCAACAGCAGATACAATTAAAAAAACAAAATAAAATAAATTTAATTTTAAAAAAATGCAGGCTTCTAGAATGTGGCCGTCAGGGCCTGAAGGGACCGCCAGGCCCCCGGCCCCCCGCCCCCCGCGGCCGAGCGGTGGTGCAGGGCGACCCTGCGCGTCTTCTCTCGCCTGCACCTTCTGCTCCGTCCCGTTGTGCAATGTCAGGAAGTGTGTGAGAGCCACATCCTTCGCCCGGGCGGCTCAGACGGAATCTCTGCTTCACTGGGTGACCACTCAGAACAATAATAGCTGCCACCCTCTTCCTGAACTTAGTAACAATGGCTCAACCGTTTACCCTCCGGGACACTTGTGACGAACGGCTTTTAGAAAGTTTTGTTTTCTGTCTCCAAAAGCCACGTTGCCCCAAGCGACAGGCCAACTACCACCGGCCACTGTCAGGGAGCAGGAACTGAGTCGCGAGCCTCTCACCCGGGCGGCTTGAGCCGCCGGGCTTTTCTTCTAAACGGGCAAAGAAGACCGCGAGTCTCCGAGGCAGACGGTTCCAAACTCGCTGTCTGCCACAACTTGCACGCAGGCTTGAGCGTGTGCCCGTCTGAAACACCCAGCATCCTGGACGCAGGCTCAACCAGGAGAAAAAGACAGGAAGCTCACGGCGAATACTGACGTGACGGGGACCAGGGGCAGCTTTTTTGTCCTGCTTTGTTCTTCTTGGTAGGAAGGATGTCAGAAAGAGAGCAAGGGTTGAGGGGTTGTAGGAATCCGGCCCAAGGGCCCTGTTGACGTGCACTGTGGCGCTGGCCTTGGGGCAGCCATTTCGGTGACACGTCTGGAGCCGCCGGCCCCCCCTTGCTCACGCTCAGGCTGGCCCATCGGCTCTGCTCCTACTGCTTCCAACTGGTCCTTAATCTCCCAGGGAGGAGGGCCATTTCGGAAAGGCACAGAAGCCTAACAGCTCCTTCTGGAGCCAGACCCTCAGAGGAGGGTCACGTCCCCTTCCAAGGCAGAAAGGGAGTTTACAAGAGACCCAACTGTGAGCATGGGAGACTCAGGCCTGAGGGGTGGAGCTGACCTGCCTTCCTCTGGCCTCACACCGGGCTCGGAGCGCTACTCACCCCCGAGGACCAGAAGGTTCTCAGGATCGGGGGGCCAGAGAGCTGTTGACCCACCCCCCTGTGACGACAATTCTGTGGGCTCCTGAGGTAACTGAGGTACAGAAATCCACAGCCCAAGGGGCACAGCTGAGAGAGACTGAGCACCACGACACCTGCCCCCTTCCCGCCACCCCCAGGCACTACTGCCTGGAACCTTCTAGAATACTGCCCTCCACCCTCACCCACCTCTACTCCTCCATCTTCCCTCCTTCCTCTTTCTCTTCTCATTCATTTCTCTTTCCTTCTTTCCTCTCTCTCCGTGGTCTTCCTCCCCCTCCATCCATCTCCTTGTCCTCCATTTTTCCTTCCCTCCCTCCCCTGAGCAGGAGGTAGGACTGACTTATGTTGGCTAGCAGATGTGGTTGTTTTGTTCGATGTCTGTTCCCTCCCGGCGAAGAAAGACAGCAGTGGCAGAGGTAGGGGCTCCCCCACGCCAGCACTCACCCGGGTGGGTGTTTTACACGTTGTAGGCTTTCCTGCCTTCGTTCCAGGTTGATTAACCACAAGGGCCAGATGCCATTTATGATCAGACTCCATTGACAACTGTGGGAAGGAAAAGGGGCCTCTCTTCCTGAGAGGTTACACCGCCCTGCCTCTGCATCCTCCTCGGGTGGAGTCCACCCTTCCCAGGGGTCCAACACCCAGCCAGGTCTGGACACACTTTCTGGGGTGGAGGCCCGCGTGTGAGTTCCACCTTCTGTAGTCCTCAGCTACCTTCATGCTCACAACAGGGGAGTGGAATGAAGTTACAGCCTTCCCTCCCCTCTCTGATTTTTTGGAAGTCTGAGAAAGGTGGAAAGAGAGCAAGGTCCTAGAGTGTGAGGATCGCTCCTCTTCCTGACCCAAATGGGGCGGTCATGCGCCACGATGCACGGACCCACCACCTGAGGTCGCTCTGCAAAGAATGGAGGTGGGGTGGCCCTTCGGTTTTGTCCAAAAAGACAGAAGCCCCAGTGAGAAGAGCAGAGGGAACTAAAGTAAGAAAGCGAGTTGAGCCTTGGGTGCTTCACTTGGCCAAGTTTTTCAGGCTGGATTCCTATTTTAGGAGCCTCACATTCTGGTGGCACTAAGCAGGCTCAGGTGTAAGGAATGAGTTATTTAGAAACCGTGGCTCGGCTCAGAAAAGAGTATGAGGTTTTGCCTCGACATGAAAAGAGGAACCAGGGTTAAAATAAGCAGCAATGGGTCAGGACTGAGACCTGGTAGATCTCTGATTTCATCTCCTTGCACACATGCCTCAACGTGCTCCTCGGAAGCCAACTACTCTTGTGATCGCAGGAAGGTGTTGTGTTTTTACAGGAAGGTGTATCCTTTGGAGTGGAAACTTTTGCAGGCCGCCTGGGCCCCACAGATCCCTGCACCCTGGTTACCTGCTGTGGGCCACCCAGTGCTGGGGTCAGCAGCCCACCAGTCCAGCAGGGCCCCAGCTCTTCTAGGAAGCCTGCCTGCCCATGGCCCCACGCTCTGACTGTGGGGGTGGCGGGGGGAGCAGCTGCTCAGACATCTGGTTGACACGCCGGCCTGTGGCCCCTGAGTGGCCCGGGCAGAGAAAGCTGTTGATGTTTGAGCCACCCAGATCCCCTCTGGGGACTGGTAACTGAGAAGGACACCTGTCTCTGGGACAAGAGCAGACGGGCAGAGGACAGCTGAGGCGTGGCAGGGCGCGCCCTGGTGCAGGGCCCCCAGCCCTCTGGTCCCAGGCCAGGCCTTCTCCCTCACGGGCCGCCCACTCCTTATAGGGCTCAGCCAAAGCGAGTTTCCATCGTTTGGCACCCCCAAAGCCTGACGAGGCCCCAGATCCTGAAACCGCTGCGGGACAGGCAGCAACTCCCCGGAGGGCGCACAACCACGACGGCAAGGGTACGAAGGTGAGAGGGAGGCGTGCCAGACGCGGCCGATGCGTTTATGGGCCGTGGGTACAGCCACGTGTACGAGAAGCCACAGAGTCAGGTCTTTTCCAGCTTAAGGCCTAGTCATACTTGAAGTCGTCTTCACTTTGAAGGAATAGAAGAAACCACAAGGGGAAAAAAGATCAAAAGCACTGACCAACTTTTAACTTAAGAGAATTGAGGCTCCTTTCAGCAAACCACCTATCAAGGATGCCAGCCCGGCCAGGAAAGCTCACACTGTCCTAGACTCACAAAACCCTGTGGCGGCCGCGGAGGCCCACTGCCTGCCCCACACAGGCCTCCCCTCGGGAGAGACCACCATGGCCCACGATGAGCAGCTGCCAAGGACCTGAAAGGACAGTCTGATACTAGGGGTGCTGCCATTCGTCCCTGGGGACCGGGCCGAGACGTGCGAGTGACCCAGACGCGCTAGAAACATTCCAATGGATGTTCTTTAGATTCTTCGAGAGCCCCTGGGCTGGTTCAAGCACCCCCTTAGGGTCTCACTCTCTGACCGAGTGGCTCATTGAAGTGATTCCTTTGACCCCCATCATCTTCCCAGAGGCGTTCTACTCCACACACCTTCTCCCACTTGACACATTTCCAGTGACCGTTGCCCCCGGCACCTGCCTGTTGTCCTGCCCTCAACGACATCCTAGCTCTGGACAAAATGCGTCCTTCCCTTCACGTTTTGGAAGCAGTGATCATGCCCCACCTTTCCTCCACTTTTACTTTCTTTTCCGCTAAACCCCACAGACTCTGTTGCTCCTCCGTGACATGGCGTCCCGACCCTGGTCTATCCCTCCTCTCTGCTGCCCACGTGGCTGCAAGCCATTTGTTGGTGCCTCTTACCACGGTCATGACTCCTCTGCCCCTCCTGAGGACACCTCCTTTGTTCTGACCACCCCCCTGCTCTCTTAATGCAGTCAGATAAAAATAGCTCCCCTGGCCTCCACACCACTTGGTTGACATGCATTGTGGTCACACAGAGCCCGTGGTGTTTGTCATGCAAACGATGTGGGGGGTGGGCTTTCCAGACTTGGAAAGACTTGCTGCAGCTGATTCTTAACGTTTGATGGCAAGTTTTACACACTTGGCCTCTAGACGGTGCCACCAGGTGCCATGAGCATCAGCCTTTGGCAGAAGAGGTGTCTACAAATGGAAAGGTACTGTTTTGTGCTAACCTGTTGGGCGATCATCTAGTCCCTCAGAAAAAACTGGTCTGCTCTCCTGTAAGTTCCCCTCCTCTCCTCCCCAGCCCACCGACCCTCACTCAGCTGAGCTCACTGAAGAAAATAATCAACAAGCTACAGTCCCTTTCCTTTGTCTCTGGGCATCCGTCCCAACGGAGTGGGGTCACAGCTTACCCTCCAAGCAACCCCCACCCCCAGACTTCTGGGGAGAAAGAGGCTCAGCCAGGCCCTCACGTCCAGGCTGTTTGGGACACAAGTTTTCTTTCCTCTCTTCTTCATCTTTGTCACTTTCTCTGCCAACTCCGGCTCCACTCAGGGTCAGATGTCCAGGTTGATAAAGGGCTTACCTGGACAGTGAATTTATCATCTTCATTGGGCAGAATCCTGTACGTGTAAACACAATTCCGGTACCTGAAATAGACCAAAGGCTTCGTTAGAACCCATGCGAGGGAATTCATTTCTCTGGGAACTGAAAAGACAGGAATTCCTGACATGGCTCGAGGAACCTGGGCATGACGTCTCTGAACTTTGGAGCTGACCATTCTGAGGTGAAGATCGGCCTTGACATCAAGCAGTCCTAGACTGAGCCCCCTTCCCTCCGCCCCCCCCCCACCCTCCACTCAGGAAGCTCCAGGAAAAGGCATGTGGGGTCTTCTGGGCATGATTTACATTGGCACTTGACAGCTATGTGGTCTGATTTAAAGGAATCCACCCTCAAGACATAACTTCATTACAAGAGTATTTAGCCCCTCCTGGGTGCCTGGCACTTCACTCAACATTTGTATGTGTTGTTTAACTAGATTTTATCTTATTTTATTATTATTATTTTTTAAGTAGGCTCCACGCCCAGCATGGAGCCCAATGTGGGTCTTGAACTCTCGACCCTGAGATCAAGAGTCAGATGTTTACCTGACAGAGCCAACCAGGCACCCCTGTTTAACTAGTATTTAAAGTTATATACTAGTTTAAGGGCGCCTGGGTGGCTCAGTTGGTTAAGCATCTGCCTTCAGCTCAGGTCATGATCTCAGGGTCCTGGGATGGAGTCTCGCATTGGGCTCCCTGCTCCTTGGGAGCCTGCTTCTCCCTCTCCCTCTGCTGCTCCCCCTGCTTGTGCTCTCCCTCTCTCTCTGCTCCTCCCCCCAACTCTTGCTCACACTCTCTCTCAAATAAATAAAATCTTTTTAAAAACTTAAAAAAATAAAATTATACACTAAACAATTTAAAACCATAAAGAAAGATAAAAGATGAAAAAGAAATGTCTCCTTCTCCCCCTCCTGCTGAGCCCCGCTTCTCCGAGTTACTACTTTTTGTAAATCACTCCCGAACTCTTAAATGTACAAACTTAAATATACACATCTTTTTAAATGCACAGTATATATGTTGTTCTGAAATTTGCTTTCCTCACCAAAAAACATGTTACAGGTCTTCCCAACTCACGTTCCACCACGTGGTAGTATGATCATTTATTTGACCAGCCCGTGATGACGGATGGGTAGTTACTTTCAGCTTTTTATTCTCCTAAACGGTGCTGCAGTGAGCATCTCCGTGCCTATACCTTGTGTGACTGGTAAAGGCACAGATCCAGCCTCCCTGTCAGTACGATGGGGACCAGAACAACACCGGCCACCTGTCACTCCATCAACTAAGTGACTTAACTTAGGAAGAGCATTTACAGTAGCGCCTGGAACACGCTGGACACTGCATGTGCTGACATTTATTAGTGGCCATGGGGAGATCACCACCAGGAGGAGAGCTGCAGGAGAGACGCGGGCTTTGTATTTTGAGAGAGACTGACGATTGCCTCCCAGCAAGGCTGTGTCACTTTTCTCTCCCACTAACCGGATATGTCTATTTCCCCACACCCTGCCAACAGGCTATCAGACATTTTCATCTTTGCAAATCTGAGAGGTTAAAGAAAAATGAGTACTCACTTTAATCTGCCTTTCTTTATGAGAAAGGTTGACCCTGTTCCCATGTTTCCCTATTCGTCTTTCTTTTTCTGCAAATTTCTTTTCATGTGTTTGGCTTACCTTTTTTTTTTAATCATCTTTTGCTTATTTATCTGTAAGACTTTGATACATGCCACAATATATTTTGGCGTTATTGGTTTTTTTGTTGTTGTTTTTTAATTTTATTTATTTGACAGAGGGACACACAGCGAGAGAGAGAACACAAGCAGGGGGAGAGGGAGAGGGAGAAGCAGGCTTCCCGCCGAGCAGGGAGCCCGATGCGGCGCTCGATCCCAGGACCCCAGGATCTTAATGACTGAGCCACCCAGGCGCCCCTTGGAGTTACTTATTGTTGATGGTGCTTATGGAATTTTTTTTCTTTTTAAGCTGTGTAGAGGTTTTACGATTTTATGTGGTCAAGTTTTACAATCTCTTTTTGGCTAGCGAGCCAATGGCTGTTTCAAGAAAGTTTTGGAGAATGGTTTGGGTAATTTCACTGCCACCCGGCCCTTCATTTCTCACAGGGAAGTTTCTTGTTTCTCTCTTTCCCTCACCTCTGAATGCTCCTCGCCCCCCACCCTGTCCTGCCTCCAGAGCCCGAGCTGATACCACAACAGGCAAGGATGACTCTCTAGGCTGCTGTCACCTCACCTCCCGGAGATGTCCCAGAAACAGAGAGCCGCCCCAGCACCCTGGCCCCACTGCCCCCCTCCCCAGCCCGTCGAGCCTCAGCCCCCTCTGCAGAGCCTGAGGGGCAGCCCCACCCTGCTAGGCTCTTATCTCTCACTGCTTGTTCTCCTGACACTTCCTCCCGCAGATATGCAAATGAGACCAGGGCCCGGTCTTATTCGGCGGAGGGCAGCTAATATGTGGAAGCAGTTGAGCAGGCCCCAAACATCAGCCTGTCAACAAACAGAAGAGGGTCACCAGGAGAGGGGCAGAGAGAGCTGCACGGAACAGGAAGGCCCTTTCGTTCATCAAGTGTGGCAGACCAGCCCTTCTGGCTTTTTAAAGAAGTTCTAGGAATGCTGAAATGCAGAAGCAGTTCCGTGTGACTCAAACAGATCAGAATTCAAAAGCGAGTACAATAGGAAGAGAGGACACTCCCCCTTAGACAGGGATATCTCAGCAGCGGCCACACAGGGGGCCGGACCCGCGTCCC